CTCTTCATTGTGATCTTATTTCGTTTGACGAAGATCGGAAAAATGGCCATAAAATGCGCCTTGGTTGCAAGCAGAGGACGATCGTGCGGTTACAAAGTGGTCGTAAATTGTGATCGATCTTATTTAGCGCGATGCTATTTATCGATGGAAACAACTTTTCGCGATATTTTTCAATATACAATCATTTGTTGCGATCATTTTGTTTTACAGAAGCGTTAATTTTGCAAAGAATCGATTTTTTTTTCGTTCTTAATTGGAAAATAGTAAAATTCTTGTAATTAAAATTAATGAGATTGTTAGTGTGGTCTCGCGTATGCAAGTAATTCTAAGGATTTATTGTAGAAGGAGTTCATTGTGTTGACAGTACAGGGGAGTACGAGAGAGAAAAAAAGTCAAAAACAAAATGAACAAGAGAAAGGAGAGGGAATGTACAAAAATGAGATTGAGAGTAAGAAAAAGAGGGGCGGGGGTGGGGTGGGGGGGAGAAAGCAATGAGAAAAAGAATCAAATTTGCATAACTCTTTTGTCCTTAATGCTCTTTATTGGCAGTGTAAAGTTCTTAACAAATTCGTTCTTTTTCCTTTTAATTTTTGTTATTGTTTTCGTTTATAGAAATGATTAGAGTATTGACTTGCTGATTATTCTTGGCCACTGATCGCCCAATTGAAAAGATAAATTCACCTCGCTTTCAGGAGAACAACAAGCATATGTAATATTGCAGCGTGATTTAAATTTATTCCGTAAGGAATGATTCCATAGTAACAACTTTAAATTGGTAACATTTATTATGCTATCTTCTGTTCGATAGTTTTTCAATAGGATTTCAATAGGATACTTGAACTTGGAGATAAATTTGATTATATTTAGTGAAGCATTTCACGAAGTCATCTATATCATCATTTATAAAATGTAATCAAGTTTCTACTATGTAAAGAAATTTAAAATTAACAATGACACCATTATGTTTATCAAGATTTCATTTTTTTTTCCTTTTCTTTTTTAAGTAGCAAGAGGCCTTAAATACTCGCAGTTACGTAATTTTAATTATAATTTTATGCACAAATCCAGTTTAAAATTATCTCAATAGTTAAATCAAAATGACTTTAAAGGTTTTTTAACCTTTTAAGACAGGTGAAAAGAATACGTGGAAAGAGGCATGCGGTTATTAGGTAAGAATTTACCTTATTACAAAGAGGCGAATAAACAATGAGTGGCATTGCCAGCGAGTTTTGTTGCTCTTAATTGAATTACCGTGCTGCGATTGCAATTCTAAAAATAAGTGGATATCGGTTCAGCCCTTTGTGAAAATGCAACGAGCAAGTCGCTTCGTTGAAGCTCATTGCATATTTATGAGAACGTAAGCGAAAAACACGAAGAACAAGAAAATAATAATGATGAAGAAGAAGAATAAATAGAAGAAACAGTAGAAGATGAAGAATAAGAAGAAGAAGAAGAAGAAGAAGGAGAAAATGGAGAAGAAGAAATGAAACAAACTCCCCACTTGGCGCCGAATTCCCGTTTTCTTACTCCAAAGTGAATATGCTTACGCGGCGAAGTCATTATGTCATTCTGTCATTGTACGAGCGACAAAATGTAGCCGTAATTATTTATCCTGTGTATCAAGTCCCGCGAGCCAGGACAATCGAAGACCAGCGTCCCTGTCATCATTATCGCGGATATTCGCTGATCATGCGCTACTCTGTACCTATTTCTCCATTTCGTGGCGTTCACATCGGTACGAGATTTTTCAGTCACGCGAATAATCGGCGAAAAATCGGCATGAGAATCGGAACATTTGTATAATGAAAGGATTCGAATACCGTCGAGAGGCCCACCATAAGATTATTCAATTCTCCGATTGTCGCTGTATGTTAGCAGTGAAAGTTAAGAGTTACGAAGATTATCGTTTCAACTATAAGCTTCTCCACTTTTTACTTTGAAGCATCCGCGCCGTACGGCCACGTTGGCTACTCAGCAAAAATCCAAGGAATAAGATTTATTTTGCAATGATGCTTTCAGTCGCTTCCGAGTCCGTCGCAACACGTAACAATTTAGAAAATAGGAAAGAAAATATTGTTTGAAGCCACGCGATTCCATAATTTCTTTTACGTTATGGTCCGCTTAACCGCAAGCGTTCTTATAGTTGTAGCTTTCAATAATTGCACCGATCTTTCTTATTCATGTTGAGACTATTAGTCATAATGATGGTTCGAGATGTCGATCGATTTCTTAAAAATTCTATTTCTACCGATTAAAACTTGTATTATATAAAAATATATATATATAAATATATATATATATATACTTCAACTATTTGTATTAATGCTCCGCGCGCGCACGCACACACACACACACACACAGAGAGAGAGAGAGAGAGAAAGAGAGTAACATTCTTTTCATAATTGTACGTGATTTTTCAAATAAATTGATTTTTTATGCTGCTAGTAAAAGAATTTTTAATAATGCGTGGCACCACCATACATACTCGTAATTGTAATGAACTTTTTTTCTCTTCATTTTAAAACGAATAAGTTTTAATGTTATTTTGCAGTATTTCATAACTGCAAAAATTGAAGTCGTAAAGTTTCGTTTTCTCGGAGAAATTTTTAAAGCTAATACGCCCATATCCTTAGTTAACTTCTATCATTATGTAAAACTATATACCGAAGCCTAGCTTTTACCATTATATAAAACTATATTAAAATTCAGATAATTATTCAGGAAAACCGATGATATCTTGTTCACATAATTATTTGCTGTTAAAAAATTGACCAATTGTCAAAACCATTTAAGATTCTCTATTACTCGTTTACTGATTCATTTGCAGTTAGTGAGCACCCATAAAACTGAATTGCGAATTATGTACTTTTATTTATTCCATGGCACAGAATATAAAACAAATTTTATGTGCAAATTTTAAAATAGGTATTCAGAAAATTATAGAAAATCTATCGATATTTAATAAATTAATACAGGATTTTATTTATTATTGCCAGACTTTATTCAGATGTGATTTTGACGTTTTAATAATAATAAGTAGAAATAACAATGTTTAACGATAATATAGTTCGTTATCCAGACGATTAGAAAAATAAAATTTTATCGCTTATAAATCGGGACTTCGCAAGATTCACATCGTCAACATTATACTTTTCAATTAATTTTTAATTAAATTAATTAATTTATAATTCAATTAAATTTATATCATTTGAAAGAAACTGGTATATAAAATGTTCATGAAATTACCCATTGCATGATTTAATAATTCAAATATTACAAAAATGTGTGAAATATCAATCTTAAATAATATTTAATAAGATCTTAATATTTAGGTCATTAGGAATTTTTCCCCATTAATTTTCCAACTTAATTTATAAATTATAAATTATAAATTTATTCATGATTATAATTATATTATTATATTTATAAGTATAATTAATGATTAACATTGCGCGCACAAATCGTTAGCGTAATTGGCCGTTAATTTTCTAGATAAGTTTACATATTATATTTATATAGTAGTCAAATGAAATGATTGTCATAATAACAGCACCGGTTATTAATTTCAAGCACCACTCGTATTCCCTTTAATCCGGCAATAAGCAGTATACTTTCAAAATTTTATCCGTTGATTAGAATGTTCTATAGACATTTTAATAGTTACAAAAAAAAAAAAAAACAAACAAACAAAAACAAAACAAAAAAAAAACAAAACAAAAAAAATATGAATAGATCAATGCACCGCATTTCTAACAGTAAATACGAAGTTTAATCGCGGAGAGGTAATCCGGTTCTAGGAATGTATGCAGATAAACCTATACAAATAGGAATTATATACTTAGCCGTAATAAATGTTTTTCACTTTTCGCGTTTAATATAAGACCTGCGTATTCGCTAGTTGCTTAGTGCAATCGGGCATTGGGATCTATAGTCGAAGCTTATAGCCAACATATAGTGACCTACAAGCTGTTGGTCTTATTAATTAAATCTGAAACATCACAATGTCAGCCAGAATATTTTTCCCTTTTTTGTTGTTGAATGTATTATCGAGTGCGCAAGTGAAAAATCGAGGCCAGTCCCTCACGAGCGCCGAGGATACAAATTCCCGACGTGTCATACATTATTACTTGTAATTTCAAAAAGGTTCGCATAACACGTATCAATCACTTGCGGTTATATCGATACCCATAAATAGGTATTTACAGTTTATCGGCTTACATCTTTATTTTACGTAATGTTATTATTTAATGAAGCGGCTGTCGGGTGGATGCTCGGCGCCTTGATGAGCCGCCGTTAAAATGAAAACAGCAATATTCGCGCTCTTTCTCTCTCTCTCTCTCTTTTCCTCACGCGCGCGCGCGCACACGAACACACACACACACACACATACACTCTCTCTCTCTCACTCACTCCAATCACTTATCTCCCTCTACTTTACAATTATCGTGCGTTCGTGAGGACGCGAGTCAAGTAAAGTAGTTGGACAAATGTGCGCGAAGGTAAGGAAAGTTATTGGCTTGATATGGCGCTGAGGATTGCAGCAAAGGTAGAGAGGGCGAGGTATGCATCGCAGTACCGCGAACGTACACCAACGTCCCTTTCTCAATATCAAATGTAATTGTATTTGAGAACTTACGTCTAAGCCGGCCCCCTCGTGCCTGCCGAACAAAGCCTCTTGCGCGTTGATTTTGGCGTCGGGCATTTTTGAAATTCTCGATTGCACCATAGCCAATTATACAACAGGCAGGTACGTGGACGATGATCGAGAGTACGACGAAGATGACGAGGAGGATGACGATGATGACGATAACGGCGACGCCGACGGCCGATGGTCGCTGATCGCTGGCTTTTGCAAGCGCCTCAGGCTCCGTCGGCCGTCGTTTTTTTTTAGCGCTTCTGACGAGCGCTTAATCGAACTAGGAAAGACGCGTCTTCGATGGTTAAGCGTAGGGTAGGTAGTTGGTTGGGTGGGTGGATGAGTGTTGGGTGAGGGTGGAGAATAAAAAAAAAGAAAAAAAAAAAGAATGAAACTAGAGCGTGTCTTTGTCTCCGGATCGTGTGCGGGGGAGAGACGAGGCTCACATTGACTATCCGACCGGTTCTCACTCTCGGCTCTCGCTGCCGATCCGACCGGGTGAAAGTCACGCGGAAGAGGGGAGGGGGCGGGCTGCGATGGGGCGTGGGGGAGGCGCGGCAGTGTCACGCTGCACGGAAAACGTCCGGAGAGCCGCGAAAATAGCGAGGAGAGTATCGACGACTCTTGCACGGCCGAGCCGCAGTGCATCCGAGCCTGAGAGCTGACCGACTGGCTCCAGCGAGGGACGCGGGCTGCTCTTATACCCTCGGGGCCCCCACCCAGGAATTCGCCGAGCGCGTGCTTAACCTGTCTCTCGACATTCCCACCTCCGTCTGCACCAGCACAACATCCTTTCCTCGCCTCCCTTACTTCTTCATCACGGGCACGCAACAATACGCAACGTGCTGCCTCTTGCCCTCCTCGCATTCTCACAACGCCTTCTCATCTCGCACTCTTCCTCCAGCGTAAGACACGACAACGAGGCTTATTATTCAATGCACGCGGTTATTTAACAGGAGCAGTCCGCGTTTTTTCTACGCCTTTTTTCCCGTTTTTACTCCCCTCATTTTTCGCCTCGCGCCAATCGGCCAATGCCTCACGCCGTTCAAAGCATCATTTAATTAGCCAATTTTACGCTCCTTTTGACATCCCACGCTCGTCCTTACCATTTTATCTACCCGCAGCTTCCGTTTCTATCGCCATTAGCTCCGCTATTACTCTCTATAATCTAAATCTGATTAGAAGTGCGGCCGGGGCATGTGCAAATTAATTATTCGCCCGTTATGCGGGCCATCCGAATTATAAATGTTCTTTTATTTTATTAAAAATTCGTCCATAAGACAATCCTTACTAAATAGATAAGAGATATTCTTTTGGAATCGGTAGGATACATTTTGCTTCGTTATAAAAGCTGAACTTTGGTGACGTGGTCTAACTCACATAGAGCAGGATTGGCAATACGTAAGAATGTGTTATATCAAATTATTTAAATTAGAAAGCTGCAGGTAGAAAGTAAATCAATTTTTTATTGTAGAAAAAAAGAATATGTCTAGGAAGTTTTTTCGTGATTCTCATAATGTGCTTATAGAAATCTAGCAAGTCGAAGCTAACGTTGCATAAGAAACTCGGTATTATGATTGGACACTGTAAATATAAATCGCTTTTAAGAGCAGGGATGAAAGAGCAAATTATATTATTATTCTAACGTTTTGCTAAGAATCGTAAAAGGCTAAATCACGATAACATATTGCAATTCACAATACTTATAAATACAACTCGAGTAGCAAAATAAACATAGTCGTAGGACTTTGAAGACACAACATTTTCGCTTGTTGATAACGGACTGCTAAAAATAAAATACCCCTAACAAAACATTTTATTATATATACAAAATATGAGATTTTAAATGTGAAACTTTCTTCGAGTGTATGTAATTTCTTTAGAATCATAATTTGATGATGACGTAACTAATGCCAGAATTAAAACCGAATTTCAATTATAGATAATATTTAAAATATTAATACTTTGCATTAAATGTAATAGAAACTAATTTAATGCTTAATTAGATAAGAGAAATTGATATGTACATAAAGTAATGGTTCATTTCATGCAGTAAAATTGTTGATTGGAAAAACAGTTTTAATGAAATGTATTAAGATCGTCTTGCTTAATTAAGATGACAGAATTAATTTAAACAATTATAAATATATAATTTAATAATAATATTTTATAAAATTAAATGTTAATATATATATTTAATAAATTATTTATTTTTATCCATTGCATTTGATAAAAATGAACCTGATTTCAATCGAATGACCGAAGCACTAAGTATTCATTAAATAATCTACCTTCTTGAATTATAATTACATTTTTTACAAGTTCGAAGTTTTTACAAACACATGGAGAAGAATTAATATTGGATTTGATATTAATATCTTATATTACATATTACTTAAATTATCGATTTTGAACAATAAGATTTTATATTATTGAATAAACCCAAGCATCCCAATAAACCCAATAAACCCTCATTCCTGAGTGGTTTTTTTATCTTTATTTTCCATATTTACAAAGAGACAGCAATTAATTTATTACTGAAAGTGTTTAATTAAAATAAGATAATTTACATATTACATATACGTATATAGTTTTCTTTTTATGTATAGTATATTCAATATTTTTACGATATTTGTTAATTATGTAGTTTGCCTAAACCGAAGAAATTATCACATTTTATTAACAAAAAAGTGTGCGTTCTTCAGGTTTGACTAAAGATATAATTATTTTTTATACAAATTTAATTTGTGTTATAAAAATGTGAAGCGTATTATTATTATTATTATTATTATTTGACGATAAATTCATTCGATATTAAAATATTATTTACAATTATGAACGCATGTTTTTAATTATTGTAATTTTTTATTGCCTTAATAAATGGAGGTTTATTGTAGTAGGGAATTTGATGAGTAGGGTAAATTCGATAACGGAATTCGAGTTTTTGTAGAGTGAATTAATAAAGCAGGCGTCGACAAAACAGGAAGAATAAATGTTAAGGTCGTGTAATGGAACGGAACAAGCTCATGGCCAGTTCTTGTCTGTAAGATCTATTTAGATTATTTTCCTAACCGCAGCAATGCGGTTCTTTTTGCTATGCCCTCTTACATTTACATATAAAAATTTTACGTGACAACGGGAGATCAATCTGTCAGTTGAAAAAACTCATCGAAACACGTATGAGTTTTTAACTTTTGACATCTATTTTTTATTTATATATGTTTTTACGCTATTCTGTGTCACTCATATTCGTTAATATAAATATACGAACTACTGTATACAAATTCATTTTTGGCACCTCAAACATGTTCTATTTATTACACGGAGTCTCAATTAACATGTATGAAATTATTCAGTATTAAATATGTATAAACTACATTATTCTTATTTTTAACAAGAATGTTGACTTATTTAATATACACTTTTCAGTAACAATTCTTACATGTTTAGGTTTCACTTGAATTTCTTTAAAAAGATAAAGTGCGTTTTAAAATTTTAAAAACATTAAAAATTCATATTTGTTAGATGATCAGTATTAAATTAAAATTATTAAAAAATTTTAATTATATATATATATATATATATATATATATAAATATTGTGTTGAGAGCTGTCACGATTAATAAGCGTCAAGCATAATATTTTAATTATTCTCCCTATACAATTCATAATAAGATTATATTTCATTTGTGATAAAATAATAATAATAGTAAATTATTTACAAATAACTGTTAGCGCATCTGTACAATAAACGTATTGTCCGTTTGGGAAAACCTCTATAAACTTAGTATTTCTCACATTCGTTTAATAATCAAGGTTACAATATAAAATCTTAATTCTATTCTCTTCTTTAATAAAATTTGGCGTAAAAATTAGAATAACAATTATTTTTTATTGTAAGAATAAAAATAATAGTATTAACATGACTACCAAATATTATTAATATTGAAGTTAAATGCCGATGAGTTTTAATGGCAATACATATAATATAAATGAAATGAACGTAATGAAAAATATACTTTTACTTACATAGGTAAGGTTTTAAAAAATTTTATCTTTTTATTAGATAATCCCCAATGTTTGTGATGAAATTTGTTTATATTGATACTAAACTAATTTTTAAATATTTGCTTTATTTCGAATTCATTATTTAAATACATAAAAAATCTCTTATTCGGCTAATTATGTTACAATATAAATTTCTTTGCATTTCAATATATTATGTCCAATAAATAAAAATCCTTACAAGCATACTACTTATAAAATATTATTAAAATTATAATATATATTGGTGTTGAAGATGCTCAAATATTCAAACATAAAAATGCATTAATATGTTTATATTACATTGATATTATATATGAATAAAATAAATAATAAACTAATAGATATTTAATGATATTTATTTTTTCAAAATTGTTGGTGTAGTCAAATTTATGTTTCTTTAGGCTCCGTCATATCATTATATTATTTTTTTTTTTTTTTCACTAATTCGTATTTTTTATGGTACACCTTTTTATTTTATTTTTTTGAAATACAAAATCTCGAGTCCTTATTTATATTTTTAATAATATCTTAGCGCTGAATATATTGATGTATCTTAATAAAGACAATCTTACTGACTCTTATTAATCATAACTCAAAGAATTTGTCAGAATTTAATTTTATCATACCGATAGTCGGGAAAAATGCTATTGAAATATTTTTTATCGAATAAAATTATTCTAGTTTTTTTCTGTATTTGTAAAATAATTATACATGATATTTTTATAAGGAGTTATCTACAATATCAATTGTTTATTAGGAATAATATAAAAAAAAAAGTTTCATTTAATAACACAAGAATGTCTTTTGATAGTTTGATACAAAATTTAATTAATGTTTTCTACAATAGTAAAAAAAAAAGAAATTTTTTTTTTTTTTTTTTTTTTTTTTGTTATTGAATGGATTCTTTATGAAGCGGTTTATTTATATCCCATACAAATTTAAATTGGATTATTCTATTATTTTATATACTTTATTCACGTTTAATATTTAACAAATATTTATTTAAATTGACATGAAAAATGTAAATAATTTTTGTTAAAATAATTATAAAGTAATAAAGAAATTGTAAAAAATTTATATTGTTTTGAAATAAAGATCGATTCTTAAAAAAATATTATCAATAGGTTTATAATTGTGCTTGATAAAAATAATTAACTACAACGTCTAACATTTTAAATGAAGTAATTAATAAACTCCTTTCAATAATAGAAAATTTTAATTAAGAAAATCACGCATTAACGTGCAATAACATTCTTTTAACTATTTTCACACAAAAATTCCATGATCGTACGTTTTTTACACAACACTTAAATTATG